CCATCCACCCACCCACCCATCCGTCCATCCATCCACCCACCCACCCATCCATCCATCCATCCATCATCCACCCATCCAACCATGTGTCTATCCATCCATCCATCTATCCATCCTCCTCCCTCCTCCAGCTGCGTCTCCCAGCGCCCCCTGGCGCCCGGCAGCAGGACCTGCGGTACTCACTCTCCCTGTGGTGCCAGCGGGCCGCGTGCAGGAACTGCCCGCAGTAGTGGAAGAGGAACTCGTGCTCAGAGTGCTCCACATCTCCTCGCAGCAGCGGAACCAGGCTGCGGCCGTCAATCACCCTGATTGATGCAGAGAGCAAGGGCGGGGTCAGACCAAGGATGCTCAGGAGCAGTGGCGGCCAGTGGGGGGGATGCGAGTGTGTCACGGAGACTCCTCAACCGAGTGGCGCTGGGTATTCTAACAAGAGGCCTGTGGTATTCTAAGACACCACGCCATCTCCTAGGCAGCACCCCCTAACCATTATGCACACCCGCCCGCACCCCGCCATGGCCCTGGATATGCACGCAGAGTCTCCTGAGCCCTGCTAGATAGTCAGGAAGTCCTGCTTTATGATTAAAAAAAAAATCTGAATATTGAATGTAGAAATGCAAGTGTTTTCCTCAAAAAAAATATTTTAAGCCTGTTAATTTAATTTTGCAGTGGGGGGTGGAGTTGGCGTTGTGCCTCAGGGTCCCAGGGAGGGTCGGTGCCAGGACCCCTGTGGATACCCAAACCCAAGGGTGCCTACATGTGTTCCATGAGGAGACAGGATGTCCTCCTAGGACCCACGGGTCTCCTCCTGCATGGAATTGCTGTAGTTTAGGGAATGAGACCAGAAAAATATCTGTCCCTGTTCAGTATCACTCAGTTCTGAAAATACCTCCCATGTGGACTGGGTGGAATGGTCAACACAGAACCCGAAGACGCAGAGCCCCGGATGTGTGATCATGTGGCCGGGAAGGTATTTGGTGGAGGAGAGCAACCACCAACATCATTTGAGTTTAGGTTGAGCCACTAACCCACCATCACGTTGTTGGTGGGCATTGTCTAAGCAGTTGAAGGCCTTCAAGGCAAAGAACAGGTCTACTGGAGAAGTCGGGATTTTTTTTTTTATAAAAATATAGAAATAATGTCCAGGGGTGCAATCTGCTCGCTGAGTACAAGAATTTTGGATTTGCCACTGGCTGTCACAAGCCCGTGAGCCAGTTCTTTAAAATAAATGTCTTCGGTAGACAGATTGACGGATGTAGGCAATGAGTCGATAACCAATGTCAGATACACAGAAGGAAGATGGAGGGGTGTTGCTAGACAGCAGATAGACACATGATGGACAGGTAGTCGATGGTGGATGGATAAATGATAGGTTGATGACAGATAGACAGATGGCAGATAGATAATCTCCACGGAGACGTAGTATTTTCATAGACACGCCTACCCTAGTGACCAATCTGTCTCCAGAGACCTCATGATCCCCTGATATATAATAGATGAAAATTCTTCCTTGGAGCGAGAAGTTGGGGGGACCCTAGCCGTTTCCATTAAGTAGGAGAACTAGTCACTGTAAATGTGCTTGAGAGCACGTCGGCACCAGCATGCTGACTTCCCCCTCCGTCCCTTCCTGCCTAGTGCTGAGCATGGAGCTCAGGGTCTCTCGGTGCAGGGAAGGTTGCCGGTGCTCACCACGGAGCGGCACCCCAGTTGTCACAGAGCATGCCTTAGGTGGCATTTCCAGCCCTGAACTGGGAGCGAGGCGGGGGGCGCTCACAGGGGGGAGGGAAGACGACCTTGTGAACACGGACCTGTCCTGGGGCACCTGGCCGCCCCCCAGCTGGACCACGGTGGGGAACACGTCCATCAGGCTGGTGGGCTCCTGGATCACACGGCCGGCGGGCAGCACCCCGGGCCACCGGAAGATCCCGGGGACACGGATGCCCCCTTCCCAGCCGCCCATGCCTTTGCCGCCTGCCAGGAGATGACGTCAGTCATGGTTAGGCTGCTGCAGGGACCGTCCTACCCTAGAGAGGTGTGTGGCTGAGGAGGCGAGGGGTGGGGACCCAGCAGGCAGGCACAAGGCAGGCGCCATCTTGCTCCTCTTCCACCTCTACATCCACCTCCTTCGTCTCCATCTCTTCCTTTACCATCCCCTCCTCCTCCTCCTCCTCCTCCTGCTACTCCTCCTCCCTCTCCTTCTCCTCTTCCTCCATCTCCTCCTCCTCTTCCTCCTCCTCCCTCTCCTTCTCCTCTTCCTCCATCTCCTCTTCCTCCTCCCTCTCCTCCGGCTCTTCCTACTCCTCCATGTCCTCCATCTACACATGATCCTCCACCATCTCCTAGTCCTTCTCTTCCCTCTCCTCCTCCTCCTTATCTCTTCTCCTCCTCCTCCTCTTCATCATCATCATCTCTCTTCTATCTCCTCCTCCTCCATCTCCTCCTACTCCTTCTCATCCTCCTCTTCCACCATTTCCTCCTCCTCCTCATCCTACTCCATCTCCGCCTCCTCTTCCTTCACCTTCTCCTCCTCCTCCTCCTCCTCCTCCTCTCTCTCCTTCTCCTCCTCCTCCTCCTTCTCCTCCTCCATCTCCTCCTCCTTCTCTTCCTCTTTCCCTTCCTCCTTCTTCTCATCCTCTTCCTCCTCCTCCCCCTCCTTTCTCCTCTCCTTCTCCATTCTACTCCTTCCCATTCCCTCCTTCTTCTCCTCCCTCTCCTCCTCCTCATCTCTCCTCCTCCTCATCATCAACATCATCCCTCCTCCTCCTCCTTCTCCTCCTCCTCCATATCCTTCTCCTCCTTATTTTCCTCCTCCTCCTTCTACATCTCCTCCTCCTTCATCTCCTACTTCTTCTCCTCCTCCCTCTTTTTTCGTACTCCTTCTCCTCATCTTTCCTCCTTTTCATCATCATCAACATCATCATCTCTCTTTCATCTCCTCCTCCTCCTTCTCCTTTTTCCTCATTTCCCTCCTTCTCCTCCTCTTCCTCTTCCATCTCCTCCTTCTTCTCCTGTTTCTCCTCTTCCTTTTCTTTCCCTCCTCCTCCTCCTTCTCCATCTTCTCTTCCTCCTCCTTCATCTCTTCCTTCTTCTCATCCCTCTCCTCTTACTTCTCCTCCTCCCCATTGTTCTCCTCCTCCTCCTTCTGTCCCTCCTCCTCCCGCTCCTCCTCCTCTATCTCCTTCTCCTCCTCTTCATCATCATTATCTCTCCTTTTCCTCCTCCTCCTCCTTCTACTCCTTCTCCTCCTCCTTCTCCTTCTCCTGCTTTTCCTCCATCTCCTCCTCCTCTATTTCCTCCTCTTTCTCCTCCCTCTCTTCCTCCTCCTTCTGCTCATCTCTCCTCTTCCTCCTCGTCAACATCATCATCTCTTTTCCATCTCCTCCTTCTACTCATTCTCTTCCTCCATCTCCTTCTCCTCCTCCTCCTCCATCTCCTCCTCTTCCTTCTTCTCCTCCTCTTGCTCCTCCTGCTCCCTCTCCCTCTCCTCATCCTCCTCTTTCATCTCCTCCTCCTCCTCCTCCTCCATATCCTCCTCCTTCTCCATTTCCTTTTTTTCCTCCTTCTTTTCCTCCTCCTCCTCCTCCATCTCATCCTCCTCCTTTTCCTCCATCTCATCCTCTTCCTCCATCTCCTCCTGCTTTTTCTACTCCTGCTTATCTCCTCCTCCTCATCATCTCTCTCCTCCTCCTCCAGCTCCTCTTTTCTGTCCTCCATCTCTTCATCCTGCTCTATCTCCTCCTCCTCCATCCCCTCCTCCTTTTCTCCCTCTCCTCTTCCTCCTCCTCATCTCTCCTCCTTTTCCTCTTCATCATCATCATCTCTCCTCCTCCTCCTCCTCCTTCTCCTATTCCTCCTCCCCTCCTTTTCCTTTTCCTCCATCTCCTCCTCCTCCATCTTCTCCTTCTTCTTCTCCCTCTACTCCTCCTTCTCCTCATCCCTCCTCCTCCTCCTCCTCATCATCATCATCTCTCTTTCACCTCCTCATCCTCTTCCTCCTCCTCCATCTCCTCCTCCTCCTTCTCCTTTTTTGATATCCTCCTCCTCCTTCTTTTCCTCCTCCTACTCTCCTCCTCCTTTTTCTCCTCCTTTTCCTGTGCATCTCCCTCCTTCTCCTCCTCCTTTTCCTTTCCTCCCCCTCTCCTTCATCTCCCGCTTCTCCTCCTCCTCCTGCATCTCCTCCTCCTCATCTCCTTCTTCTTCTCCTCCTCTTCTTCATCATCATCCTTCCTCCCCCTCCTCCATCGTCTCCTTGTTCTGGCATCTCAGCTGAGGGCTCCTGTGGTTCCCTGTCCGCCTCCCTCCCCGTGGTTCGCCCCTCACCTCTATAGATCCCATTGTACCCCGCCAGCTGCTGGTGTTCTCCTGTGGCCTCCAGCAACCCCCCATGATCGGAGGCGAAATAGGTGAGCGTGGAGTTCTTCAGGCCGTTCTCGTCAAGGGCACGGAGGACGTTACCTGTGGAGAAGGTGGGAGGTGGCCGAGGGAGTGCCCACATGGGTCTCAGCTGGTGGCACGCACCTCCCACTCTGTGCGCAAGCCACCGCATTCTGGGCAGTCACAGAAAGAGCCCCCTGCCCAGAGCTCACAGGGGCACGTGTGCCTCACAGATGGAAGGGTCTGCAAGCGCTTGCTTCTCTCTAGCATGGCCCCAAGCCCCCAAAGCAGAGCCCTTTTCCTCCACGACGCTGAAAGCTAACCTTGTCTCTCTGCTTCCTGTGACCACTAAGGGTGACGCCGAATGACAGCTTCTCACCAAACTGATTGCTGACGAAATGATGGGTTTTGTGCAAAACTAGACTCTTACTGGGAGTAAGTGGACAAACAAGGAACAGGATTGGGGTGTACTCTCTCCCCCCCATTCTTGATCTTGACTCACCTACAAACCAGTCCATCTCCTCCACGTTGTCTCCGTATAAACCGTGGCGGCTTCTCCCGAGGAAGGCTTCCGAGGTCACCAGGGGAGTGTGGACGTGCAGCAGGGACACAAAGAGCAGAAAGGGCCTGTCCTTGTTTCTGAAAGGAGAAAACCACTTGAACTATGGACGGGAGACAGTGCCCTCCACAGTGGACCTTGAATCGGCTGCATCCATGACCTGGGGTCACCTGCTGGGATTTCACTGTGAGGGCTTCCCCAAAAAACTCAGGGGTGAGACCATGCAAGAAAGTTCACAGGTAAAAAAAAGATTAGATTATAAGAGGTGTAGACTAATAAGTGGATTAATCCACTTGGATGGACTCACTGGGTGT